TGATGTTCTAGTCACTCCTATTGTAGACCCCCCAATTATTATGTCAACCTATTGTTCGATGAGTCCACGAGACCTTGGATTCCTTTTAGTAGATGGAGCCCATAAAGGATGAGGTATGCAAAGAAGTCCCTTCTCCCTAATTTGCATGAACACCTTAGTGTGGAAGGTGTTTAATGGAGTGAATTCTCATTGAGGAGGGGCTCAATCTCCCCTCGATCCTTTATTTCACTATTCTTCTATCAAGTGTGGCCATGGGATTCTTTTCTCCTTTCCTGCCTTCCTAATTTCCATACTCATCTTCTCGGTAATGATCAACTTAGCCACAAAAATATTTGTTTACTTCTTGAAACAACTATGGGAATATGACAAAAGGACGAGTGATAACTGAGTAAAAGAACTTCAAGAGCTGAATACCATTGTTATATGCATTGATAAGGATAAATGAGCTTGGGTCAAAAGAAGGAATTGCGGCAGGGCCCCATACGTCAGTATAAATGATTTCAAATGGTTTAGAGCAAGAAATGGAGGTTGTCCCAAAAGGCAGTTTATGACTTTTATTGCAAAGACAAGCATCACAATGACTGACAGTGCTATTGATTTTCAAGGTAGGAAGAGAATAACGAGAAAGTAATTTTTGCTGGATAAAAGGGGAGGGATGACCAAGACGACGATGCCATACATCAACCGGAGCTGCGACTGAAGAGTGAGCAGTAGGAAGGATAATTTGCGAAGCGGATGGCCACTCATAAATGTTATCTTTGTTCTGGCCCTGGACCAAGGATGCCCCCATGCTCAAATCCTTGACAAGAAAAAAGTTAGGAAAGAATTCAATTGAGGTATTATTTTGTTTACATAATTGAGAAACAGAAATGAGGTTTCTTTTAATGTTAGGTGCACACAGAACATCATCGAGTGTAAAAGTTGTGGTAAGTGAACTAAGCGTTGAGGAACCAGAATGAGTAATAGGAATTCTTTTACCGTTACCGATGATGATATCTTCATTTCCATCATAGTTGTTGTGGATGGACAAGTTTTGAAGATCAGAGGTGATGTGATGAGAGGCGCCCGAGTCCACAATCCAATTAGGTTAGGTAGGAGTTGGAGTAGCCATGAAATTCTCCTGAGGCCACTGTGATGGAGCAGGGAGCTTGGGGCGAGATCGACAAACTTTCGCAGAGTGTCCGACTTTATCACATAGTTGGCAAACGACTCGTTGGTGGCTTGTGAAGTCAGGACGCGATGACTGAGGATTATGAAAGTTACCACCTTGATATGGATGAGGGGGGTTTGGTCTGGGCGCCAT